CCCCAAAACCCCAAAACCCCAAAACCCCAAAACCCCTTTAAAAAGGATAAATATTGAAACTCAAAATTATTGGGTTTCCTTTAAATGCATCGATATCACTTTGATAGCCTCCTGCTTGTTGAATTCCATCTCGTCGGTTTCTATTTGAATTATATTTTTGAATAGGAGTAGCTCACAATCCTGCTTGATCTTGACTTTCTCCTCTAATGACTTCTTCTTGAACGCTTCTGAGGTATTCTCAAAGTGCATGAAACAGCAATCAACGATATGTTTAATCCCAAATTTCTTATTAAGTTTTGCATAGTAATGAGGGATAAACTCTGAGTGATCAATCCTGCTATTATTGGACAAATCTTGCTTTAAAATTTCTCAAAAAGCTTTGGAGATGACATTTTTACCGTACTCAGCAAGGTCTATTTCCTCTCTGTTGATGTAGTCATATGTGAGAATATCATCGAGGCATTTCCAGGCATAATCATCCTTACATTTAATTTTCATATCTGAATTGTCAAACTTCTGTAGGAAGTCTCTCAGATACTCTATCATAGCAATGAAAGATATAATATCAGGACTCTTAGAGATATAGTTGACTCATTCCTGAATTGGCTTGGTTAGCTTTTCCATCTTCTCATCATCTGCGCTATCTTGGATCCGTGAGAACATCTTCAGAACTCTGAACAACAAAGGGCCTAGGTTATTATCTTGCATGAAATTCAGCTTCAAAATAGTCAAGATCCTTACAAACAAGGAAAACGATATTCATCAGCCGCTATAATTTGTCAAATAATCAATGATATTTAGAAGCATTTCAAGCAGACTTCAAGAGATGCTTTCCTTCTCGCTCTTCTTCTCGTTAAGTTTTAAGATAGTCTGGGATGTCTTCACCATAAAGGATGAGAGCTTCTCGATCAATTCTTCTATCTGGGCATACCCATGAATTTTCTCCGGAGTCTCTTTACATTGGTTGTAGTTATTAGTGACATATAGCTTGAGGAAGAACTCAAGAGGTTTGATATACATAATCAGCCTAGGTAGCAGATACATAACCTTGTTGTCGTCATTCCAATCTGCATATTGCTCGCTAAGCAGATGGAGGTAGATTTCGATCCCTTTCTCAACCTTATCTTTATATTTCTCCTCAGGATCATTTGGACCAAGAATCGAGAGTTTGGACATCACCATGAAGGCAATACCTATGCCATTCTTTCTGATAGAATTCTGCAAGATATAGTTCAAGACAATTTCTAATCCAGGTGGGGATTTCTCCTCAACGGGGGTAATGAATAGTGAAACAGCCCCACCAATCTTGGTAGCGATTATTTTCTTTAATTTCTGAAACTCCACATTTTTCATAGTCTCCCTCTCCTTCTGGAGGGAGATCAAGGTCTGCAAGAAATACTCGATGAAGTTCTGGTGGTAATCATCTGTTGATGCATAATTCAAAGCAGCCACTAGATTATACGAGCAACTCTCGTAGCACTTGGATGGATTCAGGACTAGATTGTATATAATTTCCTCTCATTTTTCGAATAATTCATTGTTTTCATACACTTTGTCATTGATGCACTTGATAATTAAGAACTCAACAGAGTTGATGATGTCCGCTGTGTGATCCAAAATTTCTGGATCGAGTAGCAAGTAGTGAATAAACATCAAGCAGTCCTTAACCTCTTCTCAAAGTAAATGTTTATAATTCTTATGAAACTTCTTTGAGTCGATATTCATTAGCACCAAAGCTACAGCTCAGATTTTAAGGTATAAGCTAATCTTGATGTAATCTGATTTGTCAATATTTTGATAAGAAATCAATACTTTCTCTAAAATCTCTCAAAATTCTAACACTTGCTTTCCTTCAATAAGCAAGAGAGGGATGATCTTATGAATTTCTCCAATAGCTTCGCCTTGTTCAAACTCTTTCATTATCGCTCAGATCTCTTGGATTGGCTCAGGATTGGAGCTATTGAGAGCTTCTTGCCGCACAAATCTCTTTGCTTCACTAGCCACATTCTTATCAGTCAGATCGCTCTGTAACTCAACCTCTAACGAAAGATCCTTGAACTTATTAATAACCATGGTCAAGGTGTTCATTTCTTGATACTGGTCTACTTCCATTTCTTTTGGAGTAATCTGGCTCATTTTCTAAAAATAGTGCGTAAATAGCTGAATTTAAGCTTACATCTATTAATTTTTAACAAATCATGTTTTCAACTCCAGCTCATTGACCAGGGGTTTTGGGGTTTTGGGGTTTTGGGG